GTCCTTTACTCAACTCCTAAAAATACTTGGATTGTCAAGTCAAGTATCTCCACTCTACTACTAATATTCTGAAAAAGGTTAAAAATATTTGGAGACCAGAATTAAAGGCAGCTGGGATACAATAATGAAAGTAAGATAGAAACTTTTCAAATTTTTAAGTTCAAAATCCACATGGCCAGATCATCTGTAGATCACTTAGTATGTATGTAGATATGTTCTATTGGTGAGTAAACTTGCCATTATACAGTCTACTCATTTAGCTCATTTCATTTCTAGAATACCATGAACAGGTGGGTACCTACCATCCACTACTGTCATCATTTAAAAAAGAAAATTAGTCTTTGTGTTCAGAGAGAGCTTGTGAAGGAAATAGAAAGTAAATGAATAAGTAAAACACATAACCACATGGCTCAAAGGAGCTAATGTGTAATGTGCTAAAAAATTATGTTGGGGAAAGACCTTTCTAAGAAGACAATATTTTGCCTGAGACATGAAGACTAAGGAACAAGCTCTGCCAAGAATAGAAAGAAGCAGAGGGAATCATTCATGTAATAAAGTCCAAAGTGCTAAGACAGGGCAGAGGGAAGAAGGCAGAGTGAACAAAAAGGAGTGTAAGACATGCATTGGGGAAGTATGAAGAACTAAATTGTGCAGGGTCCTGAAAGCCACAGTAAGGACTTGGGGTTTTATTTGAAAGATAATGGAAAGCCACAGTGGCTGGTTAAAGAAGAAGTAACTTAGGGGATGGAGAAATGGCTCAGTAATTAAGAACACTGGTTGTGTGGTTGATATATTGTGCACCCCAATAAACTTATCTGAGGGTCAGAGAACAGAACAGCCATAATATTAAACATAGAGGTTAGGCAGTGGTAGCTTTAATCCTAGCATTCCAGAGGCAGAGATCCATCTGGATCTCTGTGAGTTCAAAGCCACACTGGAAACAGCCAGGCATGGTGACTCATGCCTTTAATCCCAGGAAATGATGGCAGAAAGCAGAAAGGTATAAAAGGCATGAGGACCAGGAACTAGAGCCAGTTAAGCTTTTAGGATTTTGAGCAACAGTTCAGCTGAGATTCATTCTGGATGAGGACTGAGAGGCTTCCAGTCTGAGGAAACAGGATCAGCTGAGGAATTGGCAAGGTGAGGTGGCTGTGGCTTGTTCTGCTTCTCTGATCTTCCAGCATTCACTCCAATAACTGGCATTAGGGTTTTTTTTTATTAATAAGACCTTTTAAGATTCATGCTACACTGGCTGCTCTTCCTGAGCACCCACATGGCAGCTCACAACTGTCTGTAACTCAAATTCCAGGAGATCTGACACCTTCACACCAATGCACATAAAATAAAGTTAAATAAATTTTTTTTAAAAAGAATAACTTGAACAGATGGCTTTGCAGAGAAGGAACTGGAGGCTACCAAGAGAATAGGGAGATGGAACACTGTCTAAGTCATTGTTCCACTGCTGTAAAGAGACACCATGGCACCTCATAAAAGAAGCCATTTATTTGGGAACTTGCTTACAGTTTCACGAGTTTAGTCTATTATCATCATGATGGGGAGCATGGTGGCATTCAGGGAAAGAGGAGAGGAGGGGAGGGGAGGGGAGGGGAGAGGGGAGAGGGGAGAGAGGAGAGGGGAGGGGGGGGAGAGAGAGAGAGAGAGAGAGAGAGAGAGAGAGAGAGAGAGAGAGAGAGAGAGAGAGAGAGAGAGAGACAGAGAAAACTGGGCCTAGCATGGGCTTTTGAAACCTCAAAGCCCACCCTCAATGACACCACATTTCCTTCACTCCAACAAGGCCACACATTCTAAGCCTGGTAATCTTTTCAAATAGTTCCACTCCCTGGTGACTAAGCAATCAAATATATAAGTCTATGGGGCTACTTTTATTCAAACCACCACAAATATAATTTTAGAAACAGGTGGGAGATCACTGATGATTGTGGTGGTGACTGTGGTAAAGGTAATTTTGGCCAAGAGAAGTGGACACATTTGAGATGGATTAGAATGCTGGACTCAGTAGAACTTTGTAGTAGATCACATGATCCTTTTGTTCATTCCAAGTTTGTTAACTTTGCTGATATAACTTTAAAAGTCTGATCTCATTCCCATCAAATTTAAATTTCCATATTATATTTATGTCACACCTGAGTTTTAATTTAAATCTTTCAGAGACAGTATCTTAATTGAATGACCAAGTTATACTGCAAGAAATACTTATTATCTAGTATCTACTGCAAATGAGTCTAGAAAGACAATTTTATAAATAGTGGAAGTTTATTAAAAGCATCAAAGTTTATTTTAACCACGATAAATATTTTCTAAAACATTTCCTTTATCAACAATTCCTTTATGTCAAGCAGAATATATTTAAAATAAGTTAAACTTTTGAAGAGCTCAAATTTATCTCTATAACCTGGGGCAATATCAAAATGGTGACATACAAAACAGGGTTCTTTCTGTGACTGTGAAAAACTGAAGACAACTGTTTTGAAATGATTAAATTCTCATCCTTTTGCCTTATTACTCTTTGTGTTTGGCAGCAGAAATCAGCTTCTGCCTGGATATTCTGTGCTTCCTGTCCTGTAAACTGGGAGCCTGGGACTCCATTTATTTGTACAAGTAAAGAGTAAGAGGCTCTGAGGAAAGGGTATGAATTTGTTTTCTAGTTTGATTGTCCTGAAGCTTTTTAAATGTTGATTTCTTAAGTATATTTCAAGTCTATGAAGTTCTGACACCAGCAATATTCATCTCATGAAAATATCCCCGTATTTGCATTTTATTTCCCACATTCATAATGCTCCCTAAAATTGAATTCACATTAGAATTCACATTATCATTTTAAGTTTCTACAAAGGCTCCTTCCTTCTGAGACAACTTGAAAAATTTTATCATACGTATTAGTTTTTCAATGGATGCCTAAAGTATACTTTTCAAATGTAACATGAAAGAATGCAAAATTTTACCATAAAACTAGACTATAAAAATAATTCCAAATGTCTTGCTTGGCTGGTCCTATAATGTTATCTTTTTTTTTCTTTTTTCATTCTGACAGTGCATGAAAATTTAAATAAATCAAATGTCCACAAAACCCCAATCGGTAACACAACCTTCAAAGTGTCTTTTGACAAGTAACATGTGCTGATTCCAAGCCCAAAGACAGATTTTTAAAGTGGCTCTTCAAAACAGCTGCATTCCTCAGAGCTGTTCCTGTGTCAGTGCCTTGTTCCATGAAATGAAAAAAAAAAATGAGCAAATGTGTAATGGAAATGTGTAACTGATGAAAGCATCAGTACAAACAGAACATTCTTGACAGCATAGACGTCTTCTTGGGATTCTACTGAAACATCAGATTCCAGATGCCATGGCTGACCTGCCAACTGGAAATTCTTTAGGGAAAGGTCCAGAAATTAACATTCAATGTGCATGTTCCCCAGCTGACTGACTTGCGTCTCTCAGAAGATCTCTTAGTAATACTGTGGTAGACACAGCATAAGAAATCCTCTGATTTTGTTTCTCAACTTGTGGTAGGTTTTATTTTCTAAAGGTGACTGTACTAATACGAAATCTACCATCTACGGTGTTCTCAAAAGTGGCATTGCCATCACACCATTAAATAGTGGGATTTATGCTACGTCTGCCTGGATCTGGGCAGACTTCAGACTACTGTACAAGTGAATAGAATGTGACTCCTAAGACCAGTTATTCAGTTGTGCTTCCACTTGGTTCTCTCTTGATCCCTTGCCTAAGGAATGCAGTCACCATATCATGAGAAAGCTAAGCAGCCGCATAGAAAAGCCATGTTTGGGTCCTTCTTAAAAAACTCCCTTTTAATCCCCAACAGCCAGCTCTTCAGCTACCAGACATGTGAGTGTGAGCAGTTTGAGATGACTCAAGAGCCCAGCATTAGGTTGCCCCAGTAGAATGGTGATGAATTATCTCACCTATCCTGGGCCAAATTTTAGATTTATAAATAAAATCAATTAAACAAACTAACCAAAAAAAAAAAAAAAAAGCTCCAAGTGCTTCTGCAATTTCTTCAGAGAACATGTAAATGTGTATGACCCAGGTAAATCTTCATGTGGTCCAGCTTGAATTAAGGATTTCTTATTCTGTCTATTCCATCACAGACTAACTATATCCCGTACAAACCAACCTGACAATTCCTACTCTAGGCAATTATCTGTGTCTACCATTCTTAAGTAGGAGTGAGTTTTGCCTCCCAAAAAGATTTCCAGTGTCTGGGGACATTCAAGATGGGCATCCCAGGAACTGACGAGGTGGAAGCTAGGAATTCTGCTAAACATTCTATAATCCGCAGTCTCTACCCAGCAACTCAGGAGACAGAAAGAGTGCCAAAGTTGTGGAACTCTGACCTGGATCTGGCCCATGGTTCTAAGCTATTGAGTCCTTACCCAAGATTTTCTGCACCATTACCCAGGATCTCCAGCTAATACCTAAAGAAACTATTAGTACTGATATCAGATTTATCCATTTTTAAGCCATTCAACACTATAGTATGGATGTTTGTGTCCTCTAAAGTGCAAGTACTGACATTTAATTCCAGTGTGATGCTATTGAGGGGTGGGGCATTCGGTAGGTGATAAGTCTGCATGACTCCTGTAAGTGGGGTTGGGCTATTTGAAAAGAGGAGCTACACCAGGACTTGTCATTTCAGCAAGAAGGTGCTATCTTTGAGAAAGTGTTCCTCACCAGACTGCTAGTATATTAATCCAATATTCCTCAGGTTCCAGGACTATGAACAGTACATTTCTATTCTTTCTAAATTACTCAGTCTGTTGCTTTGTTGTAGAAGAGGAATAGACCAAGATCACATGCAAACATATGGTGCTCAACCATGACTACATGTTAGAAAACCTTTTTCCAAATCTGAGTCATCAACCCCTAATTCCAGAGATTGGTGTCTTAAAAGTACTGCTATTAACATCTCTTATTCAGTTCTAATGGTAGCCAAGCATTACTGAAAGGAGTGGTCTTTTTACCTGGAAAATGACTCATAGACTATAGAAGAGCAGCAGAGAAGTCTAGAAGGTTAAGCTGCAGAATCCCAATGGGTAATATTGGCATCTTCTCTGTTCCCCCATTGAGAGCTCTTGGCATCCATGATCTGTACTTATTCTGCTCTGCAGTGTCAAGGAGAAGACATGAAGCAAAGCTCATCCTTTATTCCTCTGCATATATCTGGAAGGGAAGCAAACAAGCTAATTGATTCTTGTTAAGTCAGGAGGCAGCACCATTCAGCAGATGCTGAACAACTGATTTCAGCATGTGTACTGTCTACCTCTTACCAATAAATATAGCCAGTTTTTCTTACTGCACTGCCCATTAATTACCTAAGAAGTGTATAAAAGTATCAGCTGCTATCTGAGAGTTTCACAGCTAGACTGCCAAGCAAAATCAAATAATGATTTACATAGTTTAAATGATGACAAAGGTAGCTGACAGAATGTAACTCTAAAGTTCAGTCCATCCTTTTGTGAACAGAACATACCTTGCCCCTCTCCCATTGAAGACATATCACCATTTGCCTCAGATGCTAAGCAAATAAAACTCTAAAAATTGATGGGTGGAAGAATGAGAAAATGTGAAATAGCCTATGATTAGAATAATTACCTCAGCAAAATGTATGATTTCATTATGACAATGAGCTTTTCTAAGCATGTTATTACATTATGCTTGTGGTAAGAAGAAGAATCAAAACTGTTTTCCTTTTCAAAATTTATTCATCAAAGGAAAACATCAATTTAATCAATTGCTCAGTAATTACCAAATTAACTTTTCTGTTATTTTCTCTCCCATTAAAGCCAAAACCAGAAAGTCTTTTATATAACATTTATGCTCACTGCATGTCTATAGTAGCTATTAGTACTAATTGCTAAAAGTTAGTCATAATTAAAGGCATGGGGTATTTAGTTTAATCGACTAAATTGAACTTAACACCATCCACAGTAGTGGTTTTGGGCAGTTATCTCTTGTAACTCAGTTTCTTCTTCTGAAAAGATGACAATTAAGAGTCACAAGAACACAATTGCCTCTATGGAATAACCACAGAATGAATAGAACACGGTTTGCATAACCCCAGCACAGAAGACATACTTAAGAAGTGAGTTTATTTTCACTCCAAAAATCTATAATGAAACTTTACATTTAAGCTTCAGACCTGAATTTCCAGCTGCCTTCTGGAGATTTCCACAAGAAATTTTCCATTCTAAATGATCTTCCCATATCTTGAATACTCCACAATTAATTATCAATGTCACTTTACTGAGACTAAGAAAGCTGATCTTTCATCCTTCTAAACATGAACCATGCATCAATTATACTTTGTTACTACTGCCCTCCCTTCTCTACAGGCATACTACTGTTGATAGCAAAGAGTGTCGATAGTATTTAAGTTGACTTCAAACCCTTACTAATTTTTAGCATCTTTAATGTCCTAAATAATATTTTCAATGGTTTCTGAAGGGACTTGACATGTATTATTGAACACTGCATAAATATTAAAAACCTGATGTTGCTAGAGTTCTCCTGCCTGGCCCACAGTCAGGACAAATCTCTCTCACCTGCCAGTCCCACAGCCGCTCAAACCCGACCAAGTAAACACAGAGACTTATATTGGTTACAAACTGTATGGCCGTGGCAGGCTTCTTGCTAACTGTTCTTACAGCTTAAATTAATCCATTGCCATTAATCTATCCCTTGCCACATGGCTCGTGGCTTACCGGCATCTTCACATGCTGTTTCTCATCATGGCGGCTGGCAGTGTCTCTCTCACTCAGCCTTCCACTTCCCAGCTTTATTCTCCTCCTTGTCCCGCCTACACTTCCTGCCTAGCCAATGGCTAATCAGTGTTTTATTTATTGACTAATTAGCAACACATTTGCCATACAGAACATCCCACAGCAACCTGAGGCTGTCTAGCTGTGCATACATCATATCTTGAACTCTCTCCTTGTATTCATTGTGGAAAACCACAGTATTATTTACTTCCAGGGCATAAAGTCAATGGGGCAAAGGCTAGGGCTGCAGACCTAGTTTGATAGACACTATGATGGTCAATAATGTATATCAGGGATATTTTGCTAGGAAAGGCCCCAGTCAAAACATTACTGAGTAACATTTATTCAAACTAGAAATGCCAGTTTTATTCAGAAAGATTGATAATTCAATAAATGGAATTAATTAAAACTCAGGAAGCAGTGATCTATAATAAAGCCAATCTCCGGGTAATTTGGTCTCCTATAAAGTAAAAGTGTAGGATATTTTTCACTTTACAGAACCTTTCTCTATGATATTTGTCCAAGGATGGTGGCCAGTGTAGATGACATTAAAGGGGCTTGCTTGTTTCTGGATTTAATTGCATGTGACCCAGCTGGGGGCATTGGCAGGCATTTGAAAGGAGAGAAGAAATTAGGGTCAGGGTATTTGTCAGCCTGCTTTTCAATGCTAGTCAACGTGGGCTCCTTCTTCCCTGTGAAATCCTCTTCCTACACACCACACACACACACACACACACACACACACACACACACACACACACACACACACTTACACAGACCTATATGTGTGGATATGTTTCTTGCAATATTCTTTTTCTATTTTCCAGGATATGTGTACTAAAGGCTTCTCAGTATTGCCAGCCTCCATGGACTACATCACTTGTCCTTGTCCTTACAAACTGTCCTCAAATATGAGTTGGGGTCTGCTTTCTCTTTCATGCTTGAGACTTGACTTTGAAGGCCATTTCAAAAGACACAACTGTTGTTCAAGGTTGAGATCTTCACTGGGCAAAGTGTCCCATGATTCTTTTAATTCTACCATCTCTGGGGTGTCTGTCTGCCTTGACTTCCTTGACACCCAACTTTCAGCCAAGAAATCAGCCTTCTTCATGTTCTGTCTGTATTTCTGCTACCACTGACCTTGGATTGAGCTTCACAGTGAGCTATCCTGATAGGAGACTGGAGATGTGGAAAGGAATAAAGTACAGATCATTATTCTTTTGTCTCTTCCATGCAGGTGACCTCAGGCTGGCTATGATTCTTGAACCAATGTGAGAGCATGTGCCCTGACCCTCTCCACACTCAGTCCTGCTGGGGTCTAGTACGGTATCCTTACTTTGTCCTTTGAATCCTAAGGATGGTGCCCCTCCTCTCAACACTGCTTCCCATTCCATAGGATATGTGTGCTCATGGACACCACATCCCAGGAATGTAAATTGTCATTCTATTAGCAAATCCTCCCCAAATTACCCAGTTAATAGACAATTTGTTAATGAATCTGGTGGAATTAAAGAATATATTTAAATACACAGAGCAACACTGTATTATTTCCTATAGATTTACACACACACACACACACACACACACACACACACACACACACACACACACAATTTTTGACCAGCAAGTGAAACGAAAAAGAGAAAGGGGAAAAACATGTCTGACCAAGCATGAAGTTTACAAAAAGGCAAGTGAAAGTTGCAGAAACCCAGGGTCCTCGTCTGTAGAGTACTGGGCAGATGAAGTTGGAAAGGTGTAGGGGAATTTCATAGAAAAGGGCACTGGGAATATGATGTGGGGCCAGAATGTCCAAGGTTTCAATGCTGATGTTAAATGTCCCTTTCATGGCCTGGGAGAGAAGCAGGAATCCAATGTGAAATGAATTGTGGAAGAGGATAAGTGGTTCAGATTTGTGTTTCAGAAGGAAGACTTTTAAGCACTGTGGAGAACAGATGACTGAAGATTCCAGAAAAGACTGACAAAGCCTTGCCTAAAGAGACTTCCTAAGGACATGGTTCTAAAATGTATAGGAAAATTGCTATCAGATCACTTCTCTATGATTTATATTAATGATGAATTAATAGTATTTAGAGGCATCTAAAGGAATGACCAATCAAGAGAAATCAATGAAGAAAACAAGGCATACTTCTGATAGACCACGATCTTTCTTTGGAGGAGAATGAAAATCCAAGCAAGGCTTATCACAGATGATCCAGCTGTGATCACCTTCTGAGAAGATCTAAGTACAAGTATGAGTCCTGAGAGCCACAAGTGGCTTGACAGACTCTAGGTATTACTGCTCTCTCTACTATATAGTTCATGGTCATGTCTTCAATTGGCACCAATCTGTGAAACAATACATCTCCATTTACTATGAATTATTTCTCACTGCAAAGGGGAGCATGGAAAGTTTGTGTATAAAGGTGTGTTTTCAATAATTCCTGCCCACACAGAACATCCTTAGGTTTTCCACCAATTGCCTACACCACAATATAAAAGATTTTTTTTAAAAGCAAATATCCTGCAATCCAATGTATGCTACATTCACAAAGTTTTTTCCCAAAAGGAAAACAAACAAGATTTTTCTCTAATGCTCAAGAATAAATTACACACCATTTATGAAGCATTACATGCAAAGCTATCGTTGTGCTGGATCTAAGGGGCTCAACAAGTTAAACAAGCTTCCACTCTTCCAGCAACTCAGACATTTGGAAAACAGAAAATGCACAGACATAGCCATGGAGAGGCAGTCATGGTTCTGACATCGGACGTGATAGGTTTGATACAGGCTGTAGAGAAGACCATTCCAGAAGCCCATGAGTGAAAGCAGAGAAGCAGAAAGCTCATGGTGAATTCAGGGAGTGGCAGACAGCACCATGTGGAAAGCAAGGGAGCAGTGCTGTTTGGAAGGGCTTATTACCCCAATCCCAAGAAGTTGGCAGATGGATCTGACTGCAAAATTCCTATCGACTTTTTTTACTGCAGTTACTGGATTGCAACTTGGCTATTTTAAGTAAAGGGAAAAGATGACTATGGTTACATTTTTTAAAAGGGTCTTTTCTTAATAAACCAGTTGTTGGCAGAAGAAAGAGCTTCACTACAGGACTACAACTGACAAAAGAATAAGGGATAGGGTTATCCAGCATCCACCTACAAAGGGAAAAATAAAACACAGATGTACCTGAAAACCTATATAGGGTTCTAGTAACCCAAAATATTGTTTACATCTTTTGTTGTAATTGAATGTCATGCTGAGACACACACATTTATAAATAAATGCCTCACATTTCTGAATCTTTAGAAGTTTCACTCCATATATGTGGGGTTAGTGGTTCAAATATTTTGGAGATTTTTATTAGATGTCACTGACTGCAAAAAGATATAATTTAAAATTCTACCATA